AATTTTCAGTAAATAATTGTAGAAGGAAAATAAACCAAAATATGTGTGTAAAAATAAAAAAAAATTAAAAAATGTTAGCTTGTTTTATAACGTATCCTCCCGACAAGTATTTCAGTGCGTACCTGTGCGTCCAAAAGCATGTCACAAAAACTGTTCGAAATGATTTCCGTTTTGATCGACGCAGAGCTGGGCTTGTTGCCAAACACGAGCACATAATATTATTATTGAGACAGGGCGGTTTCAATTTCTGCTTGTTGGTATCTGAAACAAACACTTTTTTTGGGCATTTTTTTTTACACCTTTCTCCTATGCGCAGTACCTGGTGTCCCCAGGTAAGGGCAAGCCAACACTTGCTTACCTGCTCATCTATCCAATAGATACTATAACACAAAGTTTTAAGGTGCATTAAGCACTTCATGGAACGTGTGTTACTAGCTCTTGGACTATAAGATTATTTGGTCTTCTGCGGATTTTCAATAAACTGGTTCGTTCCGAAGATGATGAGTCGACAAAAAATTCACAAATAACGTCTTCCAAAGCAAAAATCCCGAAAATACACATATAGACCGTATGAATCTACAAGAGATATTGAGGATGAGTTGGAGGTAGTCATTTTGATATATGTATTGGTAGCTTCATATTTGATTCTTGCTACTAAAAACCATTATATTCTAAAGAAGTATTGTAACCGCGAAATTGAGATATGTTATTTGGATATTATATGACGTGCGTAACACGAAAAATCATGTCGTCCATTTCAGTCGGTCTGTCGTTAATCCTTGGTACGTCTATAGCTAGGAAAGTGCTGGTCAGATTTTGATAAGATTTTTACGCAAAAGAAAAAAGGTTTTATCCCAATGTCTGATATGTACTTTTAATTTTTCCGGATTCTTAGAATATATGTATAGCTCTAAAAAAGTGCCGCATTTTCATGTTGCCAACGAATTCCGTTATTACTTCCATTTATTTGTTTTTTATAGCCGACCTAAGGGATATTTGTTATCTCTTGGGACGTGCTTTGTGCGTTGCTCCATAGCTATGAAGGAGCGAAAAAATAAATGCCGAAACGTTGGTAATTTGAAAAAGAACACTTTCGAACACCTGTATATCCCAAATATCCGAAAAACTTAAATACATATTTGTGCACAAGGTTATCACTATGCCAAGGACGAAAAAGATTTGTAGTTTTTGAAAAGCGAACCTCGGACAAAACTTTTCCTGATCACGTTTGTGGGGATCAAAAATTGGGATTTGGGGGTGGGGGAGGGGATATCTCAGTTTTTTAATGTTGATGATGGAAAAATGTTTTCAACGCGCCTCTCTACTTCTGCACTCTGACTTTGCCGGTGGGCGTCACTATCTCAATGAGTGTCTGTCACTACTGCTGCGGTGACGCGCTCCCTAGTCTAATACGTCGAACTGTCAAGTATGGGGGAGGGGCGACGTTGCCAGATGAATGGTACTACCGATAGGACAGAGAAAGAATGTCGAATATGGACTAATTGTATGGGCCTGATTGACTGGCTTGATCTGTTTAATTTCTCTCTTATACATGTTCGTAGCTGACTTTTTTCCAAGAGGTCTAACTTGTGCAAATTATAAACCTTTATAAATAAACTAAAAAAACATTTTTGAAAACAAGCCTTATTTAGCTGTCCATAAAATGAACTGATTTTTTTCTTATTGGAAAGATTTAAGCGATCAAGTTAATTTATCTCAAGTTTTCAAATGAGGCATGTTATACCCTTTTTCTAGCCTGCCGTCAAAATGCAACACGCTTTTATTTGAAAACTTGAGGTGATGAAGCTTCATCATTATCGCCTAAATATTTCAAATCGGAAAAATTGATTTTAAATATTCATTTAGGTTTATGAACGGCTAAATAAAGGGTCGTTCTCAGAAATGTATTTTTTATTTTATTTATTTTCTACTTTTTAGTATTTGGTTTGTTAATTATAATATATACTAAGTGACATATAAATCCGAACACCCAGTTTAAATGGTTTTATTTTAATAAAATTTTGTATAAGTACTTAATGAAGCATAATAAGTAAATGATAAAATTTCAAAATGATTGCACTGCTTTAAAGCCCTTTGACCTTTAATAATGTGTGGATGCACCCTGATGTGCTACGCATTCTCCAACGCGCCTAGGCATGCTTCTGATCAGGTAGTCAATGTCCTCCTGTGGTATCTCATTCCAGGCAACCACCAACTCGAAGTGCTTCTAGAGTCTGAGGAGGACGTTGCAAATTGAGCAATCTCCTACCCATCATATCCCACACGTGCTCAATTGGGGATAAGTCGGGAGATCTTGGTGGCCATGGTAACAATGTGACATCATTATGTGGAAAGACGTCTATTGTGACTCGTGCAACATGTGGCCGGGCATTATCTTGTTGGAAAGTTGGATCTGCCAGGGTGTCAAGATAGGGTAATAGATGGGGTTCTAGAACTTCGTGAATATAACGCTGCGCGTTAATGTTACCTCTGATGCAGATTAAAGGTGACCTGGCACCATAAGCTATAGCACCCCAAACCATAACTCCAACAGTGTGATGAACATGTCTTTCAACAAAAAACTGTGGATTCCTCCTTTCACCACGTCGCCTTCTAACCCTGGCACGACCATCGTGCATGCCTAAACAAAATCGAGACTCATCACTAAAGACGATACTGTTCCATTCCTGATCCCAGAGAGACTGTTGTCTGCACCACTCAAGGCGATTACGTCGGTGTTCTCGAGTTAAAGGGAGGACCCAGTGTGACCGGTATGAAAACAAGCCAAAACTTCTCATTCGTCGGTAAACACTTCGCATGCCAATAGGTCTTCCGTATTCTGCAAACCATTCATTTGCAATGGACCTGGTAGTGGAGAAACGGTCCCTTAAGGCCAATAATCTTAGGCGGCGATCTGCACGGTCTGTTGTTCTACGGCGGCGTCCAGTGCCCCTTGCTCTTTGCGTACGGCGTTCTCGAAGCCATGCCTGACAACACCTAACCACAGTGTCTACACTTCTTTGCACTCTAACTGAAATTGCCCGAAAAGAAAGTCCCACTATACGGCCCCTATCAAACTCACTAAGTTAACGAAATCGTACAGGTCTCCGTACTCTAGGCATCGTAACCGATCGTAAAGGATGTCAAGAACCAAAATCCGCCAACGTTGATTCTTTACTGCGGCTGAAATATTCATTTTTAGAGCGTTAGTGAATTAAAAAAAAGCAGTATAAAAACCGGAATGTCCAACTGATAAGGCTGAAAATTTTTTCACTTGTTACTTACAGTAAGATAAATACATTCACCAACTTTTATTAAAATAAAACCATTTAAACTGGGTGTTCGGATTTATATGTCACTTAGTATAATTTTAATGTTTTATTAATAGGACTCCATAGAACTTCTTACCTTATTAGTATTATAAAAGTTCGACAAATATAATAATATCCAACTCATACCAAATAAGACCGACCCTTACAACTAAGTACAGGCCTATAGCTCTGGTTTCTATTATAAGTAGGGTGATGAAGAGATGCATAAATTGCGAGCTTCTGGAGTGCCTCGTTGCTCTTGATATCACGAAAGCGTTCGATCAGCTGTGGCACGCTGCCCTCTTATGCAAACTTCGAACCTATGGCATCCCAGAGAAGCTTTGCAGATGGGCGGCCGACTTTCTCTCTAGTTGCAAGATATCCGTCGTAATTCATGTCAACGCGGGTGTTCCATGAATCGGTCTTGGCTCCGACACTGTTCCTCTTACAGATCAACGACCTCCTTTCCTGTACGATCAATCCAATGCTCAGCTTTGCTGATGACAGCACTCTACATGCAGGAATTCAGAGTGACAAGCCGATCTCTGTCGGTGAGATGGAAAGAAGAAGACTAGCAACGACTTCCTCTCTGACGAGAGACCTGGAGTTGTCACTGCTTGAGAGCGCAACAATTGTGTACAGTTTAATGCTTCCAAAACACAGTACTGTACCTTGACAAACGTTTCGACGGATAGCCGAGTTCTGCCTAAGAACCGTTCATTTTTTATGGTCGGTGACCAGATCACCGACGACATGACCGGGCACGAACACATCTCCTCAACAGCGGCTGCGAAAAAGCTAGGCTGTTTGTTTAGTGCACTTTTATCCACATGAGCTCTCCACCACGATGCTAGTTAATTCATCTTATATTGTCACGCTGACCACACGTGTGTACAAAATTTCAGCTCAGCTGGTTAAGACCAACTGGTTTAAAATTCAGCTCCAAGATTTATCCCACACATACTAGCAAATAAGTGAAGTTAAATAAAGGCTTGTAATAAACTAATGACGTTACGTGGAAAGCGGGGGAGTAGAGTCAACACACTTGACGTCATCTTCTTAAGATATTTTTTCAAACTACGATTTGAGGCAGTAGCCTCTTCTCTTAGTCCTAACATCCATTGATGAAATTTCAAAGCATTTTAGGGGGTAATGTTACTATAAACCAGTGGTCGCCAACCTTTTCAGTGTGTTGATCTACTTTGAGAATTTTGGAATAAACAGGGAGCTACCTAGCCGTAAGCAATGTATGCCAACTTAAATGAAATTATACACAGTTGTATGCGACATACATGTGTTTATTTTACTAATACCAATACATACTAATAAACCTAAATAAACTAATAACTAATTCATACTACATAACTAAATCGATTCCTACCAATCGTAGGTGTTTGAACAATAAACAAAGTTTTTCGTCAGTTACAAAGGAATGTCATATACGATTTAATTTAGGTAACTAAAAATAAGCAACGCACTATTTTAAACAAAAACATATCCAGATAAAAAATGGGTGTTCAATGAGAAGCCTGACTGACTTCTTTTGAATGTTTGGGGTACAAATTGAAACCACCATTCGATAACAATTAACGAAATGTTCTTCTGTAAGTCGTTTTTAATAGATTGAATATTTATCGTTACTTACTGAAGACCAGATGCATTTTGTATTTGAGACTAATGATTTTAAAGTTAAATCGTCTTGAAACGCATTTCTGTCGCGGCGATGTCTTCGTTAAAATTTTGCCTAACAGAAGTCGCAAACTGTTGAATATCAATTTCCATGGAGGGTGAAACAACAAATTGCGCCACAATAGCAATTTCGTTAAAATCCTTGAAACGGTTTTTGAAGTTATCCTTCAAGCTAGAGACTATTTCTACGGGATGTTTACTGTCATATGGTTCTAGTGGACTTTGAGATATCTTTTCTGAGAGAACAGACAAAACTGACTGATATCGCCATCGATTTTGTTCCCAAAACTCAAGCTTTTTGATAGACGCTTTTATACAAGAAATCATTTCTGCTAGTTCTTTGTCTCTCCCCTGAAGCTTCAAATTAAGTTCATTTAATTTTTCTGTAACATCCACAAGTAAACCAAAATCTCTAAGCCAGATTGAATTTTCCGGTTCCGGAATCGGCTCATCACGTTGTTTGAAAAATTGAAGTATGACAGATATGATATGATTAAAATGTTTCAGCACTCGTCCCCTACTTAGCCATCGGACTTCAGAGTGAAAAAGTAGTTCCCCGTATTGACAGTCAATATTATCGGCGAAGATTTTGAACAATCTTTGTAACGCTTGAGCTATAATCTTGTTCACCATTTTTTAGTACCAATTTCATGACGTTGTTTAGTTTTAGAAAATGTCCACATAATGCTTGCTGATGGATATCTTTACGACATAATCCCACGAGACGCTCTACCACGACCCACCATAGTTGGAGCGCCATAGGTTGTCAAGCCTACCAATTTCGATATTGGAACTTTTCCGGAAGAAATAATATCTTTAAAGGAAGAAAACAAGTCCTGCCCAGTAGTCTGTCCTTTCACTAAAAACCATCCTGAAGAAAACGGCCATCTTAGAGGTGTCAACGACTTCTGTGAATTCATCCAGTTGCAGTGAAAAATAAGCACAGTTATCGACGTCATTTCTTAACTGCAAAACATCATTGCTCATTATTTCTACTCGTCTCATCACTGTATTAGCAGAAAGTTGCATAGGTTTTACAACAGACACTATCTCGTCTTTATTTCTAAAGTTGTCAAATAATGAATCTGCAGCTCCTGAAAACGCACGTTTTATCATTTCCCCGTCTTCGTAAGGTTTCTTATCTTGTATAATTATCTGGGACACCCGGTATGATGCTTCAGTTGCAGCCTTACTTTTGTCGATTGTTTTTAAAATTGTCTGTTGTCTGATTAACTGATTTTTTAAATGTTTCTGTTTTAACGTTCTGGTTACTGACCGTAATGGGAATGATTTTTCAAAATTCTAATGTACAGTTTGATTGTGCCTCTCGATAGTCCCTTTTTAGCAATGGAAACAGATGTATTACATAACAAACATACATTTTTAACTTCAACTTCTCTAAAGAAATATTGTTCTTCCCATTCCGAATGAAAATGATATGTCTTCATCTTCTTACTAATGCTCATAATGTTTTCAATAGCAGGCCAACTCTAACCCAACCGCTGGACTTTGTGTTTTAATCTTAGCGCACTTTCGCCGCGCCTTACGTATTTATTACGTTCAAGATAATCGAGATCGTTCTCGAACAGATCGCTCACCGCAGTGTTGCCACTGATTGTGTTTATTTTGAGAATTTACGAAATTTACGGAAGCTTCTAGAATTTTTACACCTTTTTAAAATATGTTGTTAGCCACCAGAATTGCCTTTGCGAGCTACCGGTAGCTCGCCATCGACGGGTTGGCGACCACTGCTATAAACCTTTGTCCTTTAATTGTTGTTGAAGCGTGCGCTCAATGAACACTCTGCGTGAGCACGAGAGAGATGCAACATAGTGATAACCGCCAGCCTTTTGTTCAGAATGACTAGAAAAGCCCAATTTGTAGTTTGTTCAAAAACGTGGCTTAACTAGTTTTTGACACAATTTTGGACATGGCAACATGTAAACTTGCTCGAAGGCCATTATTTTTTAATAAGATTATGTAAAAAATGGATCTGAATAGTTTTCCGGATGGACGCGAAGATACTTTCATGACCAGCTACATTTCTGCATACTACTGCATGAAATCATAACCCACTCAATTGAAAATATGAAAAAAGGACGAAGACCTCTTATTATCCCTGTATCTACCGCCGTGCTTGATATTCGGATACAAGATAAGGCACAAAGATATGGCAGCGGTGTAGCGTGAAGCACATCCATTCATGTATTTCCTTCACCTAACCTGACACCTCATTATTTCCATTTTTAATGAGGTCCTCTATTTTCAGATACCTTCGCACATTCTAGTCAACGTCTTGGATTATAGGGTGCAACAAAAAAGATGTATTTTTTCAGAAAGAACATTATTACGTATTACAACAAATTTGGGGACGGGCATCTTAATATCTACTGATTTTATTTTATTTATTTATATACAGTTTGGGGTGTTAACAGGTAAACCCAACACACACCCTCAGTGAACTAAAACTAAACTTACATAAAATATCGTATACATATACATATATTACATTATTGAATACTTTAATATTAATATTTTTTTTATCTTCCAATATTGTTGTAACAACATAAACCGAGTGAGTAGTTCTAATTATAAGCAATAAACTATTAATTTAACTTTTTTAATAAAAGGAGTATACATAATTTAACATTTACTTACGTTTAATTAAATTAAACCAGAAATGATATTGGAGGTGATAACTTGAGTTATGTAAAAAAATAAAACATTTCTATTTTAGTCTGCCATAGAGCTGTAATACTCATACTTTAAAGCCTGTTTCAGGAAGGTCAAGCTAATGTTAAATAAATCTATATTACAGAAATTATTATGATTTTTTTGAGCCCTGACCAAAGGGGAATTAAGCCCAAGAACGGTGTTCTAAACAGATGATAGGTTCTAAACGTTCTATCAGGAGTGTTAAAGTTCAAGTTTGCCAAAAGATCCGGACAGTCAGTGAGGCTATTCAACAATTTATGAACACAGCAAATGTCAGAAATCGTTCTTCTATCTTTTAAGGGAATCACATTGAACTGTTTCATAATTTGCGTATAATGATGATCTGTAACAGGTTGGTGAGTTTTATGTGCTAACATCTTCAAAAATTTGTGTTGAATTCTTTCTATCCTGGCTATATGTACATTGTAAGACGGATTCCATATTACTGATGCAAACATCAATTTGTTGTCTATATAAGCGTAGTACAATGAAAGAAGCATTTTTGGGTTCGTAAATTCTCTGCATGTCCTGTTCATGAACCCTAGTGTTCTATTTGCATCATTTACGATGTGCTCTACGTGAGTGATGGATGAGAGTTTCTCATCAATGTATACCCCTAGGTCTTTTACTACATGAAGCTTTTTCAGTTCTGCCGTCCCTATCTTATATCTGAAATCTATAGTGTTCGCTATGTTTCTAGTAAGCCTCATGTAATGACATTTTGTTAAATTCAGGAAGATAATGTTTTCAGTGCAATACTTTTGCAGAGATTCCAAATCGCTTTGAAGATTTATAGGGTATCCTGAGATCTCATGTAAATATCCATCAAAAAGTGTTCCCTTTTTCGAAAGCATAAAAAATAAACACGTAACTGTTTGGTCGATTTGTATCTCTTATCGAACAAAATAGGCATCCACAAAATTCCTTTTCTGAAGAGACTACGTTAAATATAAAAATTGTAAGGCCTGCATCATGGGCTTGGATTTCAAAGATGAACGGTTTATGTCACAACTGACGCCAAATACCAGTCAAAAGTGCTCAGATGCGTCATCGAAAATTGTAATTTCGAAAGAGACCATCCTGACGACAAGTAACAGCAGCCATTTAAAAATGAATGATCTTTAAACATTGAGTTTCAATAAACGTGATTTGCTTCAATAGTAAAGAAAACCTAATAAAATTAATTTTTATTCTCCCAACCTTTTTTTAAATTATATTTTCATGCCTCCCTTTATTTGTTCAATAAATACAAAAGAACGCATATTATATAGGTACAAAGACTTTTATTTTAATTCCAATAAAGAAACTTTAAAAGTTTAAATTAACTAATAAATGTTTTTTATCGGAAAAGTTGAATAAAATAAGTGTAGGTACTAATGAGACACTTGAGATTGCATGTTCTGTACCAGTTGGTTGATTCTAGGTTCTGTTTTTGCCAGCTATCATCAGGTCGCTATCGACATTAAAACGATTTCGCTCTTTAGTTGTAATTAAAACTAGAACAGAAAAGTCTGTCTGACATAATTAAAGCAAGAGAGGCGAGTGACGAATTAACACGCAATATTTTGATCCAAAGTTTCTCCAATGTTGAAAATGGAAGTCATCTTTCATGGACGAATCAACCTTCATTTCTAGAAATTCTTCCTGAACTTCTTCTTGTAATTGTGACACATCGACAACAAATGGATTTCTTGTCATGTGCCACATTGGTGACTCTGAATTGATATCGCGATAGTATCGACGAAATTCGTCTTCCAGGGCTTGCAAATGAGTTTTTATGTCAGCTTTTAAATTTGCGTCCAGTATGTTATTTTTAATTGCTTTAAACAGCCGAGAAAAAGATATAACATTTCAGAAGACACTTTTTGATTCCAAAGTTGAAGCTTTGATATGAACCCCTGAATGTAATCATAATTGCTTATTATAGTGTTGTTTCTGCCCTGAAGTTTCAAGTTTAGCTCATTCAAGGAGTCAAATATTTCAGATAAATAAGCCAACCTCCATTGAAATGTGTCATCTTTGAACATTGTCAAGAAATCGTGTTTTTCTTTGAACTTAAGAATTACCTCTTCTTTCAATTCATAAAGGCGAGCCAACATGTTACCTTTTGACAGACAATGTACTTCTGTATGTTACAGAAGAACTTTGTGATCAGAATCGAGATCCTCGCAAAGTTCAAAGCGCTGCTCTTGATGTAGTTTACAATCCTTATAGCCGACTCCAGTCTGTCGTAATTTCTGCGGCCTTGTTTTGTTAGCCAAAGTTTGCCGATGACTAACAATGTGTACTAACCATTGTGGGCTTTTTTCCTTGAGATTTTTATCTAAGGCCGGTCGTACACCTATCATTGCAGGTGCGCCATCTGTGCAAAGTCCAATAAGTTTATTCCAATCCAAATCATTTTTTCAACAACATTTGATATTGAATTAAATATATCTCCAGATGTAGTAGCTGCTGTCAAAGATTGGGAGTACAAAATCTCTTCTTGAATGATATCTCCGCTGATGTAGCGGAAATAAACTATTAACTGTGCACAATTAACGATGTCGGTGGATTCATCGCAACTAATGGCAAGAAATGGCGATAATTTTACTTTGTTAATTATTTGTGACGTTATGTCTGCTGCAATCCTGCAATGTCATCGATTCTACGCTTGGCTGTGTTATTCGAAAGAGAAATAGACTTTATTTTTTCCTCTGTATCTTCTCCTAAAATTATCTGCGTTGCTTTTAGGATACATGGTTTTATTAATTCTTCACCGATAGTACCCGGTTTCTTTTGCTTTGATATCATAAAAACTATTTCAAATGAAGCTTTCAGTTGCTGCGATACACCTGTATGATAAGTTCTGGATTTATCCAGTCTCATCCGCTTGAGTGATTCTGCTTTAGAAGAAAACATTCTTTGGTCTTCAAAACCAGAGTAGGATGTTGTTGCTTCAAATGCCTTTCAAGGCGATTGAGCCTCATGCTATCATTGCTTAAAACTTTCATACATATCACACACTAAGGCAATTGTAACTCGTCTTTTTCTATGAAGGTAAATCCAAACTTAACGTAATCTTCGGAAAACTTTCTTTTTTTCGCTGCCATTCTGCACCTGTCACAATAAAACAAATAAGTAATAAATAAATAAGCAAAATACCTACATGTAATTACTAATTATATGCCCATTATTTTATCTTAATAACGTAATGTATTCAACAGTATATTGGCCACCGGGAGATTTATATTTTTGTATGCAGGTTGACGTTATAATAGTAATTTTAAATACATTTGGAATCAATATTAGGTACTTAACGTTGTACGTTTCAAAATTATTTCATCACGTTGATTTGATTGTGATGTGGTAAAAAAGTCCTAATGGCCGATCTATGAACGCGTCTCCACCCAATCAACAATTTAGTAAATTAAATAAAAATGTAAATACACAAACTTACCTTTTAACAGTGAGACACAATAATTTGACACACTCAAACAGATTCCTCAACAAAACATGTACATCGAAACATCAGATTTTTTGCAAGTTTGTGGGAATGAATGTCACAGATGCTCATCCGCGTCTGGTAGGTACACAATTGTTTTCTAAGTGATGAATGTTGAGCGGACCGCGGCGGGGATGCGCGCGGATTTCATGTTGTGACTTGTCGAAACTTGTATAAACTGAGATTGACGACGCCGGGTTTTGAAACAGCGGTTGACAGAATAAGTGAATATGATACTTAATTTCTAATTTTATGCGTGTAAATTAAACATTACATTGCACTGTTATTTGATTAATTTTTTTTGTTTTTTATTCCTAAAATGCAAACGCTTTCCGCACGCCTTGACATCTCTCCCTTGGGAGGCGCGCCCCCCTGGTTGGGAACTCCTGCTCTACATGAAACACCGGTTATAATATGTATATGACATTTCATTTTTAAATATAATTTAGGATAGGATATTTTGGAGTAATAATACATTTTAAATAATGACGATGTTCAAGAGGTAGGATGGCTCAAGTCACGAAATGTCTTGGAGATCTTAAAACGGTTGTGACAAAACTCTTGAGTTTCCTCTCCATTAGTATGAGCATAGTTTCTGAAAACTATATTCCCAAACTAAATCAAACAGCATTATAACTAATAGAATATTAATGAGATAACCGGACGCTAAGTTCAAGGAGTTTACGGAACTTTGCAAACTTGTGGTACCGTTCAATAAATAATTATCAGTCAACTGATATTTTAAGCAGTTTCTTATATGGGTGATTATAATGTACGGTGTTGAGGTTTTCATTATCAACTAAAAAATATATTTTGTTTTCATAATCATTGTGTCACAAGACATATGTTATGCGTATACAGAGTTAAAAAAAATGTAGACAGCTACGTTTGTTTATCCGATTTTAATAATTTTTGGCATACATGTTCAGTGTCTCTTACTAGCAAACCGATTAAATTTTCAGTTTGAATCGTCAACTGACTACAGAAGCTGGTTCAATAATGTGTTGAGGATCCACTATTTCTTATATACTCATTTACATGCCTGGGTATCTTGCTGATAGGGTGGTCGATATCCTGTTGGGGTATCACATTCCAGGCTACTGCAACTTCGTGAGTAAGAGCTGCTAAAGTCTGTGGAGGGTGTCGCAAATTCAAGAGCCTGCGACCTATCATGTCCCAGACATGCTCAATTGGAGATAGGTCAGGCGATCGTGGTGGCTACTACTACCTGAATATAGCGCCGGGCTGTTATATTGCCTCTGATGAAAATCAGTGGTGATCTGCAACCAAAAGCAATAGCACCTCATACCATAACTCCCACGGTGTGGTAAACGTGACACGCAGCCACCACAAGCATTTAACAGAAAAACCTGACCATTTTATCTCTTGTTTATGGCAAGATAAACCGATATGTAAAAAATTCTTGAGTTCTAATAAACATACGTAGGTTTTTACCTTTTTTTATCACTCAGTATATATGACAGCTTTTAGATGAACCAGGGGGGTGACATATAAGTTATGGGTTTCAGCCGTTATTTTTATGGTTTATAATATTTTTATTGTAAAGAAATGACAAAAATTAGAAATAAAAGAAGGGTTAATACTGGAACCACTGGCAAAAGGGTATCTGCCGACACTAATTGAGCAAATAAATAATAATTTTAATAGACGTTTTCATTTCTTTACAACAAGATTGTTGTGCAGCTAAGGTAAGACTCGAATTTAGCGTTTGCTACGCTTTCATTTAACCATAAGAGTTACCAGCAGATGTTAATGATAATGGACTATTATTCACAACAAATTTAAATTTTTAGCTACGAATAATTACAATAAAGCGAAAACTAGCACAATTTCCAAGCAAAGTACACCAAATAAATAAAAAGTAATATGTATTATTGGAAAAATAAAAAAGCAAGCAATGATGATTTCACTTTTTGTCGAAAACCTGGTAATGAGTATTGCTCATTTGATTTCGGTAAATAAGTATACTTATATGGTTGCAACATTATAGGAGTCACTGCGTTGAAATAGTGTAATTGAATACTGGCGTATCCTGATAATTTTATCTCTAAGTGATCTAGAATGCATATATTTGAACTTTTTTTCGCAAGTAAAGAGGCTTAGACTTAAATTATAATTTATGGATGAAAACTGAATAAAGAGATTTAACCAAAACATTGATTTTCAACCATTTGAGTATCGGATATTTTGCGTTTCTGGTCTCAGTATTCCAGCTCAAACTATGTCTATGACTATGACTATCATTTCTTGATTTGCTACGCAATTTTCAGGTACCACTAAAAAGGTTTATTTATGTGTTTATTCAAACGTTTAGTTTTCATGAAAATATGTTATACATAATGTGTATTTAGCGTATATTATTATATCAGTTATATACAGGGAGATTGAAAATTCGACCTATTCCTTGAAAGCGGTGATTCTAGAGGTTAATTGTGATAAATTAATTCCCACCAACTGGGGGTCGGAAATAAGCGGTTTTCAAGATTTTTTAAGAAATTTCTGCTTACTGATCAATACAGGTTTTTTAAATCTACTCATTTCTCGGAACTGAATTGACGGTTTTCTGAGAGCTGTGAAACTAGCAAATAATTGAGATATAAATGCTATACCAAAAGTTTGAAACTGTTAGAAATAAAAGGCTGTTAATGAAGAGATTTTCATTTTTGTTTATTATTTCCGAAAATCAACATGAGTTATTTGAAATAAAATGTATGACAGTCGGCGTACAAATTACGAAAATAATTACAGAATTTCATGAGCTTTTAAAGACAGTACAAATTACCTTTTTCAGGCATAACCTAAAAAACCGTACAAATGGTACTGTAGATACAACTAAATTTTTAAATTAAATGAGCTCGGTAAAGTTTGAAATCTAATTAATTAACGATAAACATGTACCTTATAAAGAATTAACGAAACAAACACAACGTTGGTACTTAAAAGCTATAAATCTTGTTCAAATTGCCTGCCATTGTTACATATGCAAGCATGTAGCCTACGACGTAGTAGGGTCACTGTCATTTTTGTTGCGTTTCATCTCGTCGGTGGCTGCCAAAATCGTCTGCCTCAAATCTTCGATATCTACAACGGATGTATTGTACACTAATTGCTTCATGTGACCCCAAATGTAAAAATCGCAAGGCGTCAAGTCCGGACTTCTCGCCGGCTACGGCGTTGGGCCTCCTCGACCGATCCATCTCTGCGGATAGTTTTCATCCAGCCATTGTCGTACACCTCGAAAATAATAGGCTGGGCAGCCATCATTCTGGTATATCATATTGATTCTCCTATATAGCGGAACATCTACTTCATTTCTTAAAAAGTTTTCATAAGTGGCGCGATTTAAATTGTCGGGCAAGAAAAAAGGTCCAACCAATTTTTTATGTATAATTCCCATCCAAATGTTTAACGAGAATCTTCTCTGGTGCTTGCCTTCCTTGAATTGTTTTGGATTTTGACGTTTAGGGGCCCAATAGTGGGCATTGTGGTGATTTGTAATACCATCACGATCGAATTTCGATTCATCAGTCCAAAGGATATTTTTGAGGTAGTCTGGGCTTTCAATATCGGCATGAATTAAGAATCTACAAAAGTCAATCCTTCGTGCAGGGCTGCCCTCCTCCATAGCGTGCACTGGAGTGTAATGGTATGGATAAACTTGCGCTGTATGAGCATTAAACCGGGATTTCCATTGGGATATACCAAGTTGCCGTGCCACTTGTCTAGTTGACACAGTGGGGTCTGCTCGAAAACACTCTAAAATTTCTTCTTCGTCAGCATTATGGATGGAAGGTCTGCTAGCGTCTATTTGTTGTCGATGAACCGAGCCAGATTCTCGAATGCGTCGGTAAGTACTATCAAACACGCTTATATCAGGTAAACGCCGGTAGAGAAACGCCATTGGTAATCCCTTCGTGCTGCAGCAGAATCACCATTACAAAACCCGTAACAATACATAATGTCGGCGTATTTCTCATTTTTGTAAGCAGCCATTACACGTACAGACAATTTGCAGGAATGTTTAGTAAGATCACAACACGATACAACACGTCTGAATTCCAAAAATCGTTGGTACTAAGGATAAACAAACTGTCGGTCATGACGCATCACGAACCTCATTGGATGGGCACACCCGAATACCTACGGAGTTAAACGAGTCAGTTTGACGCATAGAAATACGATGCATTTTATTCCGAGAAAGCTGTTTTGTGAAAATTGGATTTACGAAATCTATTACCTCTATTCGATGGTTTTTGTTTTTTTTTCAAATGTTTGAAACAGTTAATAAGATTTGTGTAGTTTCGGAAAGCTCATGAAATTCTGCAATTATTTTAGTAATCTGTATGCCGAATATCTTACATTTTATTTCAAATAACTTATAATGATTTTCGGAAGTAATAAACAAAAATCAAAATCTCTTCACTAACAGCCTTTTATTTCTAACAGTTTCAAACCTTTGGTATAGCGTTTTTATCTCAATTGTTTGATAGTTTCAC